TCTACACTCCCTTCACCAGATGGACCTTCACCAGATGGATTCAGATCGAGAAGTGCAGCTTCAGCATTAAGTCGAACACTGGAAGGAATGACAAGTCCAGTTGTGAATGGTCTTGTACCACGGACCGGTCTCTCCCAACCAAAAGCGATCGAGTCAGCATCCTGCCATTGTGTCTGGTCAGTCATTTTCCATCGTTTTTCCCATGCGTTCTCATACAGTTGTTCGAGCGACTTTGCTCTCCCAGTCGGCACCCAATATTCCACTAGCACTTTATTATAATTTTGCGAATTACAATCAACAACCACCCGAGAAAGAGCTTTGCCCACCCAGATTGGCACACCGCTGGACAGATCATCGTCGGAGGGGCGAAGGATAAGAAAAGTGCCCACGTCGACATGCACGAGGGGGTCGAAACTAGTCTTCGGGCGATTTTTTCTTCGTCCAACAAACAACGGTTCCCTGTCATCGTCGATGTTGACATTGTGAGGAGAAGGTTGCTGATCGATTTCGAGCAGTCGTGGTCGTGGCCAATAACTTTCCGAGGATTGTGTGGGCAACCCGTTGGCGATGATCTCATTGCCATGTTTGATAATCTCCTCCTAATAACACAAAGTTGTTTCTCTTCTACTCACCTCATGGTCATTGTAAGTGCACCACGTCGACCGCCTACTCTCCAGCAACTCGAGGAATCAAACAACACCATTTTTGCCATTCAAATAGTCATTTCGAGGAAGGGGTTGCACATGAGGCGGGTCAAACGGCCACGAAGGACCAGCATAGCTTTCATCGGGGTTTTGATTGAACCAAAAAATCAGACCTTCCTCGGGCAACCATTCTTCGTCATCGCAAAACTCCTTGTACAACATGCCCGGACTATCTCCAACCATCAAAAATTTAAGCAAGTGTGGTTTTGAAATACCGGTAATGTCTGACGTAACGCACGGGTCCACTATACTAATCCAATTTTCCATCGTATCGAGGAAAATACATTTGGGAGGTTTTTTGTGGGATTGCTTTATGAGCTCGAAGAACTCGTCCATAGTATAAGCGTCTACGTCTTTCAATTTCTTCGAGAAAACGCAGAAAGTAGCGTCAACGTCTGTATGGGTGTTTCTCACCAGCATGAAACCTATTTCTACCTATTCAAAAACTTCGAACTTAACCAACAGTGCAGCCAGCGCACATATGTACTTGTTCTTGTTTTCCCGCCAACAAATATCTGCTTAAATGCGTAAAAACCATGGCAGTGGCGTCCCGCTCCCTTGAATTTCGACAAGGGTTCTCATAACACAAGTAGCGACCGTGTTGGAATCGTGTTTGAAATACAAAAACCACGTGTACACATATATGCTAGGGTCTCTGCCGTGTGCAATGACGCCTATCAGATTAGTCTTCATCATCATCTCATGCCTAAGTGCTTTCGAGTAGTTCGCTTGACCAATATGGGGGATAGTTGTTTTCTTCTGATCCATGCCGTCAATGATGAGACACAAACGCTCGTTCGGACGAACCGTGGAATCAATTTTCGCTCGACTGTAGTCCAATCTGTGTTCAACTTGCCTCCTTTGGTGTGCTTTCATATCCTCTCGAGCACGTTCTCGATCTCGAGGAAGAGCAGCATATTGTATACGTTCCTTCAGTTCATGACAGACGGCGCACTTCGTGAACGTGCTAGATTGCGCGAGGGAAACGTGGAAAAAGTGTTTCCGCCACAACTTATAAAAGTTGGACTCAGACACGACATCGAGGCCAGCGGCCAAAAAGTCGGATTTGATGGACTCATAAATTGATTTCTTCATGAAAGCAGCCGGGAGTCGAAGCTTCGGTCGGGAAACCCCACATTGGTTAGCCACCTCATTCGGCATGCTATCCGCATGACACTCGATGAACGTTCTCATTCTGGCAAGCATGACGACCGTTTTATTGGTTGGCCTATATTTTTCCGTCAGGCCATGCTCGGAACGCATGTAGCCATTGTCGAAACGCTTTTTGTAGCTGTAAAATGTATTACGCGAGACACCGAGTACATTGCAGTACGCCCTGATGCACATTGAACGTTCCAACTCCACAGGGCGGACACGTTTCTGTCCACTCTCATTTACTGTGAAATCCTTAATACTTTTCATCCACCACTCAGCTCGCTCTCCCGGACTCTTACTGTACAGTCCTTGTCTAAACTTTCACACTTCCTCAGGCGACACGTCGTAACAACATCGAGCCTTGCAACATGCCATGCCGCGCACCATGAACAGTCTTTTTTCCGACATCCTGTTTCTTGCTCTTTTATACTGTTCTTTCCTCCTAGCGTTCCTATAAGCCATGCAATACCTTCGTCTTTCGCCTCGCAGAGGTGCGGGCAAAATCTGCAGTATCGCCCTTCTCTCTGCATCACTCCTGCCAGACGATTCCGACCCAGACTCGCTCTGACTTGGAATCGCATCATCACTTTGCATATGCGTTGGACTCGCCCGTGTTGTGGAAAGCTCCTCTGAAAAATAGTCGGTGGCAACCAAGTTCGTAGTACTGCAGCTAGCGCGAAGCAAAGGTCCACTGGAATAGGACCGTTGTCCAGACGAGTAATCAGTGGCCACCAACCGCTCACTCTCATCATCAGACGATGCGTAAGAAACACCCATTGGCACGCAACTGCTGTGCGCCAAAGCTATGGGGTGCACCTCGCCAGGAATGTGGAACTCTATCCGGGAGGTAGACAGTTCTTCGTCCGCGGACGTTGTTGCCAATTCTTTAGGCAGTTGGATGCAACCTCCAAAGCTCTCGGGAAAAGCGAGATTTCGTTTTCTGGGGAAATCCGCAGCTGACTGTTGGAACGGCGAACTGTCCGAAGAGGTCGTCGGGGCCAACTCCAGGTGTTGTAGCTGGCAATGCAAGTCGACGGCTTGTTCAGTTTCCATAGCCCGGTTCATGCGGCCGTTCGCCGAGCCTTCTTCGGCGCCATCATGCAACCGTCGGTGCAGCGGATGCGATTCCTGTCAGCGCAATGGATTATTCTCTCTTCTGCGGGTCGAACGGGTCATTCGAATTCGTGTCCACACCCTGGAAAACAGCGGAGCAAACTGTAAGCACGGTCAGATTTACACGTTGAGGGCACAAGGTTCGTCGGGATCCGAATTTTGCGGGTGAAGGAGTAGCAAGGAACCTGTTTTCACGCGGCTTGTGTCAGTAACAGGTTTTCGCGCGGCTGCAGGTATTGGAACGGGTGGATGGCGTTTGCACAGAAGCAGGCGATGCTCGTCCGCACCGCATTTTGGGGCGGCGATGAACAAAGATCCACGGCACACCGGAAATGTACCCGGCCAGTGACACCGTTGTCAACCCCAATAAACCTCTTTCAGGGCAACTCACAAGGCGAGTACTTTTCCGCACTACCAAGCCGCCGGCATTGAAGAGGAACTGGGCAGTCCAAGCTGTTAAAAATAACGGTCAGATTTACGGGGAGCCTCTAAGTTCGCCGGGATCCGAATTTGGCGGGTGCAGGAGTAGCAAGGAACCTGTTTTCGCGCGGCTTGTGTCAGTAAAAGGTAGCGCCAGTGGGTGCACACAAGGAACGCTATGTTTGGGCGAATAGAAGGAAGGCTTTGTTGTCGGTGAACGATAGCACACACAGAACAAAGGGTAGTGGTGGATGCACCACCACACATTTCGGCGCAGCGCGACCCCAAACAAACCCCTATAAACACCGATTCTCACCATCGTCTAAGCGAGCTCGTGCGGTGTTCCATTCGTTGGCACTAGTGCAATAGCTATCGAACACGGATATCTCCACTGCGCAGACAAGAAAAATGAAGAAAAGGATGAAAGATCCCCCCTTAAACCCTTCCAAACATTGATTCGGCCAGTCCAGAAGGCGACCCCAGATTCGCGCGCCGGGAACGTCGACGTGCGACAGCGCGAACCGGACAGCACGCTGAAACACAAGCATGTCTACGTCAAGACTCCGCACACCGCGACGGTCAAAACCCTTGGGGGGGCATAAAAGATCGTGGGTGCGAAAAATTGCTCGCCTTCTGAAATGCCCTTGAAGGGGTTTATGGGGGTTGCCGACGATGACAACAATCGTGTCCCTTATTTTCGCCAACCCCCATGAACCCCTTCAAGGGCATTTCAGAGGGCGAGCAATTTCTCGCACCCGCAGTCCTCTCGCAATCAACTCACAGTCGAAGCTCCAGGCGCCATGCGGAGGACGGATAGATTTGCACCGATCCTGAAAGTCCGCCAGGATCCGAACTTGGCGGATTTGCCTGCAGCGAGTAACAGGTTTTCGCGCGGCTGCAGGTATTGGAACGGGTGGATGGCGTTTGCACAGAAGTAGGCGATGCTCGGCCGCACCGCATTTTGGGGCGGCGATGAACGAAGATCCACGGCACACCGGAAATGCACCCAGCCAGTGACACCGTCGTCAACCCCAATAAACCCCTTTCGGGGCAACTCACAAGGCGAGCACTTTTCCGCACTACCAGCCCGCCGGCATTGAAGATGGACTGGGCAGTCCGAGATGTTGAAAATAATGGTCACATTTACGGGGAGCCTCTAAGTTCGCCAGGATCTGAATTTGGCGGGTGCAAGGGTAGCAAGGAACCTGTTTTCGCGCGGCTTGTGTCAGTGGAAGGTAGCGCCAGTGGGTGCACAGAAGGAACGCTATGTTTGGTCGAACACAAGGAAGGCTCTGTTGTCGGTGAACGATAGCACGCGCAGAACAGAGGGTAGTGGTGGATGCACTTCCACACAATTCGGCGCAGCGCGACCCGAAACTGACCCCCATAAACTCGATTCTCACCATCGTCTAAGCGAGCTCGTGCAGTTTTCCATTCACAGGTACTAGCGCAAGAGCTTATCGAACTCGGACATCCCCACTGCGTAGACAATAAAAATGTAGAAAAGGATGAAAGATCCCCCTTTCAACCCTTCCAAACATTGATTCGGCCGGTCGAGAAGGCGACCCCCAATTCTATGACAAAACTCTGCACACCGCGACGGTCAAAAACCTTGGGGGCCAACAAAGATCGTGGGCGCGAAAAATTGCTCGCCTTCATAAATCCCCTCGAAGGGGTTAATGTGGGTTGCCGGCGGTGACAACGGTCGTGTCCCTTATTTTCGGCAACCCCCATGAACCCCTTGAAGGGCATTTCAAGGGGCGAGCAACTTCTCGCACCCACAATCCTGTCGCAATCAACTCACACTCGAAGCTCCAGGCGCCACGCAAAGGACGGATAGATTCGCGTCGATCCTCAAAGTCCGCCAGGATCCGAACTTGGTGGATTCGTCTGCATTTGTAACGGGTGGATGGCGTTTGGACATAAGCAGGCGTTGCTCGAGCGCACCGCATTTTGGGGCGCCGATGAACGAAGATCCACGGCACACCGGAAATGAACCCGGCCAGCGACACCGTCGTCAACCCCAATAAACCCTTTTCAGGGCAACTTACAAGGCGAGCAATTTTGCGCAATAGGCCGCCGGCATTGAAGACGGACGAAGAAGTCCAAGCCGTTGAAAACAATGGTCAGATTCATGCGGCGCCTCGAAGTCCTCCGGGATCCGAATTTGGCCGGTGTTGGAGTAGCAAGGAACCTGTTTTTGCGCGGCCGATGTTAGTGGAACGGAGCGCCAGCAGGTGCACACAAGGAACGCTATGCTTGGCCGCATAGAAGGAAGACTCTGCCTCTCTCGAGCTGTCGTTGAACGTCAGCACGCGTTAAGCAAAGGGCAGCGGTGGATGCACCACCATAAAATCGGGCGCAGCGCGACCCCAAACTGACCCCTAGTGCAAGAGTTCATCGAGATCGGACATCCCAACCGCGCAGACAAGAAAAATGTAGAAACTGATGAAAGACCCCCCCTGCAACCCTTCTAAACCCCGATTCGGCCAGTCGACAAGGCGACCCCCGATTCGCGCGCCGGTAACGTCGACGTGAGAAAGCGCGAACCGGAAACCACGCAGAAACACGAGCATGTGTGCGACAAGAATCCGCGCACCGGGACGGTCAAAACCCTCTGGGGGCAACAAAGATCGACGGCACACAGACAAGGGACACGGCCGCTTTCACCGTCGGCAACCCCACAAACCCCTCGAAGGGCATCTAAGAAGGTGAGCAATTTTTCGCACCCACAGTCCTCGCGCAATCAACTCACACTTGAAGCTTCAGGCCTCATGCGAGTACTTTTGCGTGCCCGAAGGCCTCTGGTAATCAGAACACACTCGACAGTCGTGGCCATCGAAAACGGCGGTTAAATTTACGTGGGACCTCAAAGTCCGCCGGGATCCGAACTTGGCGCTTGCTGGACTGGCCAGGAACCGGTTTGCGCGGGGGACGACG